TACTCTTCTTTAATAACAACCCAGCGGCTGTTTATTCTCTGCCTTTTAATAAATTTATGAAAAGCTGTGTAAAAAGGCTTACTATAAAGTTAACGATTGTCTAGTTGATAAAAGGGCCTGGGACTAGTGCTAGACAGGCTACTTCTATTTATAATATTAAATTATATACAATATGTATTTTAATCTAAATCTAATTTGCGATATTTGTTTTTAAATAAGTGTGGTTTGATGATTTGCTATTTTAAAAGAGTACCGAGAGTTTCTTACGCCGGCTTTTTCTCTCGGCCTACACCATCTGTCTTCTTTGCCCATCGGCAGGAGTAGGGATGTCTATTGATGCAAATTTAATGACGTGGAATAAGTGATCTTATGTTCCATAATAAACATATTTTATTTTAGAAAGGAGGGGTTGTGTTGTTTGACTGCGATTGGATGCATGACGTTGGCTTATCACAAACAAACGAAACGCTGTCGCTTGTCTTTTGTTTTAAAGTTTTTGTTTCAACGCTCTCCGCTTATAACACAAACTAATACAACACATAATTAAACAACAAAGACGAAGGGAAATAATTGACTTGCAGTTTAACACAAGAATTTTTAATTGGGATCAATAGCTATACTTGAAACTAAAATGAAGACGGCAATTGTAATTGTAACTGTCAATTGATTTCATTAGTTATTCGCGTTTATGTGTTTTATAAAGGAACTAGCTGACCCGGCAAACGTTGTTTTGCCATGTATATTATTTCTAGGAAACAATTTTTTAGTTTAATAAAAATAACCATCTACTATAATAAAAAATAGGGGTTGATGCTGTAGTGTAGTGAAAAAATAAAAACAATTGTCTTAAAAATAAAAACAAAATTTTTGGAGTGGACCCCCCTTATCACTTAGGGGTTTTTAAATATAAAAAATTTCATAAGAAATTGTCGAACCGTTTCGAGGAGTATGGAATTGAACATTGGGACACGAGAATTTTATATATATAGAGATAGTATATTTTTTTGGTTTATTTTTCAGAAACTTCACCATACTATCGTCAATTATGTTTCGACAGCTCAAAAGCTTCTATACAATTGAGTTTGCTACACTATTCGACGGATGTATGTTCGTGCTTCCGTTTAATTTCAATTACGCCCACGGAGGGCTTTTCAAGTGTACCATTCTATTACAATAGACTTTTGATTGTAGGTATTACTTGCGCAAAAGCATGCAACATTCGATTTTCAAAGAAAAGTGACTAGACCCTACTAACTTTTAAAAACGATGCTACGTAATTTGGTATACCTATAATAAAAAAAATTAAATTTTCATTAAATTCCAACTACTTCCTTTTTTTTCTAAAAAAAGATTTAAATAAATAAACAGTTGTGCAGATCGATCAACTACAAAAATCCGCACAATCAGCCACATATGAATAGGCATGCATTTATTTTTTCAATGTCTATATGACATTGTAAAAAATAAGAACATTAACATAATTTCATAATAATAAGTTAAGTTATTTATAATTGTTGTCTTATGACCTAAATACTCACCTTGCACCTTGCCTTTAAAAATTTAATCACCTTCCCCTTGAAAGAATTAACGGCAGCGATCTATAACTTCTAGGAAGGTGATTAAATTATTATTAAAGCCAACTTACTTAACAATTAAGCAGGCAGGCACCCACAGCGGTGTTGGATCCCTCGGTATATACAGGCAAGTTTCTTTGAACGTTTTGAACAATTTTGGATGTTTTTTACAGTATAACTGCGTCTGCTATTGTTACTATCCCACTATTTTCTTAGACTAGGGGTTAAACGGACAGTAAATGTATTTGAAATTAAGAAACGACGCCCATAGACACTCACATGCCAGAGGACGAGAGAACGTTGCCTACAACTTGAGTTTACATTATGTTTTCCAATGCAGATAATTCATTAAGAATATTCGCGAAATTAGAACAAATTGCTTCGGTTTTAAAGGCATTAAAGCGCGAAAATTACTTGAAGAACGTGGTATGCTTTATACGGTGACTTACGGCTTAGTAGGGCATCGTCATACCAGTTCATTGCGTTACATAACACATTGCAACAATCTGTATGTATAAGTGGTTGGCGCCTGCGAACACAATATTGGCTTATAGGATTACGTGTAAAGTGTTGTTAGAAAGACGATTTAGTGACGCAACCTAATACAACTGCTACGGCCTCATAATTGAACTCATTATAAGACTGGAAGGGTGAATACGTTAAGCCTGTTTAAACGTTTCTGTTTGGAAAAGAACCTTAGGAAAACGGACCCACATTTTGTTAAAAAAAAAACGTGTGGCATTCGGGGACTGCCCGGTAAAGCATACATAGCATTTTTTATCGTTAATTTGTTTTTTTAAAATTGTTTTTTCTTTGATATTAATTCAATTTACCACTCTACCACTCAACCAGACTTAGACTAACACGCCTATATAGTCGGTCTCACTACTTACGGCTGCACCAGCTGCGCTTACGCTACGTCACCGATCTCGTCAGAGGGATGTGAATACGCAGTATGCGTTCTGTCCCGCTCTAACGCGTATTGGCCGCTATATTACGTCATCGTGTGTTAGGTTTATTTTCGTTACTGAATTTCTCGATTCGGTCGCCGAGCTCAAAGCCCGCGATAAATTATTTACAAAAATATATACATTTTCCTTACAGTACTAAGCCAATACGATAATTAAAAAAAAGCAAATATTATAAAATACTTAAGATACACAATATCGGTACTGTAAACTCACTCTGCGAACATATATGAGTTAATATGTCGGAGACAGCATTCAGTAAGCACAACGTCCTTCTTAACGGGGATCTGTGCAACAGACTGTTTCTGGCAATTGGTATCGCAAGCAACCTTGGCCTTCGCCGTCGCACATATCCCATAGGTACAAAGAAACCGAGTTCGAGAACATTTGGGATGCTCATCGCCCCTTTTTTAAGTTGTACTTCTTTAGGCGCGTTATGAAAAATTGATGAGAGTGAAATTTTACGATTGCGCGCGCACCTATGACACAAAATTGGCAGTGTGATAAAGCGTGCGCGAGCGAGATGGGAATAAGACAAACTACAAGTAAAAGAAATAGAATATGCGTGAAGCTAACTTCACGCATATTCTAGCCTAGCACCTTAACAAGAATTTTGAATGACCATGACAATTGACATCTGACAATGACATTTACCTTTTAAACAAATATAGGAGTTTTAATTATTGTTTAAAATTAATAATTATATACCTAGTTATTTTCATTATACAAAATATTTGTGAAATAATATAAAATATTTGTGAAAAAACTGTGCTAACCTTCCTGAGTGCTTCAATACAATTGAGGTTAACTATCCGTATGTATTATCGAGTATTATTGTTGATTAAAACTGAAACATGAACCATTATTCATTGCTTTTGTTTATTGCGTTTGTTACAGCAACTTTTTAGAAATATTCTACGACCCTATATATCAATAATTGAGAACAAAGATTTAAGCACGAATACTAATAAGGAGAAAATGAAGGCTTGGAGCGATATAACAGAGAAGTAAACATTTTAATAAGTACCTGCATCTCAAAAAAATGACCACATTATTTAATCAAAACATCAGATTTAATCTAGCAAATATAAGGACAAGAGACAAAAAACAATTGATGAATCAGTGGAAGTGCACTAAATTGAATACAAAAAAAGAGTTGTCATCTTATCGCCGTGAAACATCAAAAACTGGAGGTGGAACAAAGCCACCATCACCTTCTCGAGACACAATGGTTTGAAGTAGATTTTAATGAATTTGATTGTGATGGTGTCGAGGTAGGAATGTTAATTATAAATATGATGTATGGTGATGTTCAAGGTTCAACCTTTCAAGCATAGGCATATGCTTACAACATTACTTTATTCCCCTACAGGGTAGTTAGAGATATTGTAATACCTCAAAACATCCATGTTGCACTTGTAGTACCGAAACTCTGTCCTGCCAGAAGTGAGCCCATTCCCACTTATAATGGACAGTGGGTATAATACACCTTAATACCTGAGTGCAAACCACTCACCATGATACTTAAATTAATAGATGTTATTTATATATTTCAGGTTATTACAAATAAAATCATTTTGGAAACAATTGATATCCCAAAAGCAAATAAAGCCAACAATGACAAGGTAATAAATCAGTTTTGACATAACTTGAATACTAAAAAAGCCAAACAAAGGTGTGCACAACAGTGACAACATAACTTAACAATTTCATTATTTTGTAGGATTAAAGAAAGGTTAAAGAAAATCATGTCGAACTGAACAACAAGAATCCCCAAACAACTCCAAAGAAACCTACAAGGAAGACACCGGTATTATATTTAAATTATCTCTATCTCTAAATAAAATAAAAGAAAGTTGCTATCCAGGTCTGTAGCATGTGCTACAAATTATATTATTAACACATTTATATAATTATATTAATATAAATGTGTTAAAAATTTATAATATGAATTATAAAAAATTTTAAGTTTTGCATGGACAGAGCTTAAATTAATATTCTCTTATTTGTTGCAGAAAGCAAGTAGTTTTGGAGAAGCCTCGTAGATGCACAACCAAGTAATGATTAATTTAAAATTACAAACCGAAATTCTGATGAAGACATTAGAGTCACTTAAAAATAAATAGTATAATGAAATAAAAATGTTTTAAAGATAAATAGTGTTTTATTTGTTTAATGTAAGAGAATAATAATAAATATTTATTTAATTAATTTTTCAAATGTAAACTGAACTTTATTGACTTTAATGACTCCTTTTCCAGTCTTTGATTATTTAATTGTAATTAATTATTTGCATGCAATCAAAAACTATTTTTAATAATGCCAAAGAAGTATAACTTCTTACGCGCGTACATAAGTACACGCCCCTTTTTTAATATATAGTTGGCTAACTGTATGTCCCCGTCTTGTTTCCAATTTATTGTACCCCACCATACCCAAAAATAACCTGTATGAAACATTATCCGGCGCCTAGAGCAGGCACATTACCGTATAGCAAGTAGGTGAGCTTACTGTCTGATACGTGATCTTTAGGTCCAAATCGCCAGTTTCCTAACCATATGAAGAAGTGCAAAGAAAATCCATTGGTCAGAGGGAGTTCTAATGCAGGAGTCAGAGAGCCTTTTGTGACTACCAAAATAAAGCAGTGTTGTTTTGCTTAAAGTCGAACCAAGACTTCAAGATTATAATATACGAGTACATGTCATAAAATCTTACAAATGCTCATGAAATTTTTATTCGATCTGCAGCCATAAGTTAAATACTTGTACGCAATACAATTGTCCTTGCTTTTATCTTTGTTTAATAAAAGCTTCAACACGTTAAAAATCCTAGCAAATCTGTTTTGAACTGAGTACCTGTTGGTTTACCCCACGCCTCGTTGCGTAGCGGGGGATGCTCTGTGGGTGGCAAACGTGCCATCCCAGCGTCACCCATTACCCCACTGGATAGCCTTGTGGTCACAATATTATGTTGTATAAAGTTTAATACACTTGTATTAAACTACTACCTTTTTATTTAATATGTAAAACAATTTGTTTTTGAACACTTTAAACAAGAAAATTTAAAAATGGAATAGAAAATATTGAGTGGCACCTCGTGCCGTATTTGGAACTAAAAATTACAATTTAACGGATACGAATCGTTTTTTTATGGGACAGGAGGATAACGAGCAGGCGGGTCACTTAAAGTGCTTACCGCCGCCCATTGACACTCGCAACACAGTGCGTTGCGGCAACGGGTCGAATTGTTCAGGTAATACTGTATTCATAAATCATAATGCTAAAACTGTACACGCACTTGATTTTTAATCTATATTTATTGGTCACAATTTTTTTTTTAAATGAGGAAACGTTACTACGGCTACACTAGCCGTTGTAGCCGTTTAAAAAAAATATATTAATGGTTTTTAAAGATCAAACTCATCTAATGTTAATATTACTAAATATGTTTTGTCTATTAAGGAATTTCCACACCCTTTAAGAAAAATTACAATCCATTTTGTTATTCGCCGATGAACGACTGCTTGTCATGGTGCGCTTGGTAAGGAATAAAAAAACTTGATAAAATATACGCCTTTATTTCTACACTACACATATTACACATGAGGTTCACACATAGGAATGACAGTACAGTTATAATTCGACAACAGATTAATATACGAAGATTTTAAATAAATATATATTTTACTATAACACTTAAGGGAAAACATCGTCAACATTCTGTACACAGAATTCTCTTAGCGATAAAAAAATGCACGTAAATTATTAGGTTATATTTATAAAAATAAATATAATATATATATATATATATATATATATATATATAAATATATATCCTTTATTAAATGTTGATTATAAGATATTAAAAGAAATGTTGATCCATTATGTATAATTTCTTTAAAATATAAATATGATAAAAAATAAGTTGTATATTAACATATGATAAAAAATAATTAAAATAATTTTTAATCTAATCAAATATATACAATAAATTCATATATCGAAATTATAATAATATAGGGCTTTACTTACCTTTATTTTTAAATAATATAATACGACCCATTATTAAAAAATTCAATAAAAAAAAACAGTTACAAAAAAAACACAAAGTCAATAGTGGGAAATACCAAATTATATAATAGCGTAATTATAAAAAATTGTTTTGGAGGATAAAGTTTAAAAGGTTAATAAGAGAAAACGTAACACCGAAGAAATCATGTTTCTACTGTCAACAATTTAACTATAGTAATTATTCTAGACATTTTATAACCAAATAAATAATTTTCATATAAATATTAATGATACAACCAAAATACAAAACAAAACACAAAAATTAAATAAATTAAAAAAAATTTTTACACAATTTAATAATTATGAGTCATTTAACCTTATTACCATCAAAACAACAATCTATCCTCAACTTATATTTAAAACACTTACATTTAAAATCTTCATTTTTCAGACATTTAAGAAATTTAAATTTAACATTTCTTCTCATTAAAAAAAAGCATTTTTAATACACTAACAATTTCCAATAGAATTTTACTAAAAAAAAATATTCATTTTTATAAATTTATTATATAAAAATATATTAATAAATATTAAAAAAAAAAATTAAACATTTTTAAAATAAATTTACTATTTTAATTTATTAAAAAACAAATATTAAAATTATACAATTATAAAACAATAAACATTAAAAAAAATTTGCTTTAATAACAAACAGCATGTAAACTAACTAAACTAACAAAAATAATAAAAACATAATTTAAAAATATTTAAGATTAAAATCAATCAAAATATTTATTTCAAATTAACAAACTAGTAAGTTTTAATATAAAAACATTAATTTAAAATATTACATCAACGAGACATCAATTCTAAATGTCCCAAATTCATTTAAACAAAATATCATTATATAGAAGCAGGATTTTAGCATAATATATCATTATACAAAATTATAATTCTATGATATAATAATCTCAATTTAGAATATAAATAATAATGGGAAAAGATAAATAATAAAACATTAGTTAATATAAAAACTAAAAATTTAGGAAAAATTTAAAATTCAAAAAAACCAATCTAACATCTTACAAAACCCCAAATATTATCAAACACAAAACTACATAATAAAACATAATATAAAATTAACTAAATAATAAAATAAAAAAAACAATCATTACAACCAAATCAAAAAAACCCAAAATTCAAACAAACCAAAAAAAAATTAAAAAAAAATTAAATAAAAATAAAACAAAAATAAACCAAAAAAATAATATATATCATAAAATTAAAAATAAAATATAATATAAACAAATAAAAAAAAAAAAAACCAATTAATATGATATAATAGAAAGAAAAATATAGAAGTTCGATGAAGATAAAATTATAAAAAATATTTCAATATAATAAATAAAAAAGATAAATCAAAAAAAAATGTATGAAGTTTTAAATAAAAATATTTAAAATAATTAAATTAAATATTAAAATATTATAAAAAATAAATATATTTTAATAAATTTTGATAGTAAGTTATATAAATATATATAAATGAAATTGAAAAAATTTTAGTTAATAAGAAGTATAAAAAGTATTGATAAGATTATTTATAATAATTGAATTAGATTAGATTTATATTATTATGATGAATAAATATAATATTTATGAATAAAGTTATGATAAGTAAGAATAAATTAAAAAGGTGTCTCATAAATTTTTACATAAATATATATATACCTATAAAATAAAAACTGAATAAATAAAAAAATTATATTATGTTTAATAAATTATAGAATTAAACCATCCAAATATAAAAAGAATTTACTTATCCATTAATATAACAACTATGGAGTGGATTTTATATTGATAAATTTTTTTTCTAAATTAACGAGTAAATTTATTAACCAATTTTATAAAAATATTATATGATCAAAAAAAATAAATATTTTGATAACAAAGTGCTATAAATCAACAATTGACGGATTATATAACTATATATATATATATATATATATATATATATATATATATATATATATATATATATATATATATATATATAATATATATATATATATATATATATATATATATGACGTCTAAACGTGACGTTTTAAATTTTAAAACTAATTTACTGTATATATTTTTTACTAAGACATTTTCCCGTTCTTCAAAAATAGTGGTAATAGTCAGCTATAGAAAACTGTACCATTTTAAGAATACTCAACGACTCGTAGGAATATTAAGAACTCGGACATATATTTCAAATCAGAAATAGGATAAATCTCTAACATTGAAAACATAAAATCTTTCATATAATAAATTCCACTTCTACTAAAATTCAAGTACATACATATTTAATCTATGACATGGTCTAACCAAATCTATTCATAAATATTATAACCAATTTCTCAACAACAAATGACCAAATATAAACATTTTACATGTAAAAATATTAAAGGGTACGCGTGTTGTAAAATACACTTTAACACAAAGGAATGAAGACGCAATTGGAATAAACGGAATAATTAATAGTTATACGACTACTATTAACTACTTAACTCAGATAGTTTCGTCACATCAAGCATAAGATACACATACATCGAAGTCCATTTTCGTTCCAAAGGTCATTGTTAATTGCTAGGGTATCAAGACATCAAAATATATAGATTAAAAACTTAGTGTTTCTTTTGCAAAATTAAACCAAGCGCGCGTACGTCGTTGACGCGCCCCTAGAAGTTTTTTGCTACTTTAAGTAGATAAATACTTTAAAAGTGCTTTGCGACTCTTGCTATATGGCCGGGAGCACGAAACACGAAATAACATTAATTTGATTTTCGACTTTCGACGAACAAAATATTATTTATTTATTTATACTTTATTACCTTAATCAAAAACATACACATTACAAAAATAAAGAACAGGTTATAAAAGTTATAAGGCAACGGGCGGCCTTATCGCTAACAAGCGATTTCTTCCAGGCAACCCTAAAATAAAAGCAGTTTTTTAATTAAGAGCTTGTTTTTTATATTTGCTGTTAATAGTGGTACGAAACTAATTATTAATAGCCTATTTGACATGATAAAATTAAGAGTTATTGAGAGCAATATGTATAAAACAAGAATTTATAAAGCGTTAATGTGGAGTAAAATAACTTGTAATGGTTATTTTCCAAAAACTTTATAATTATAAAATTTATACGTCAGTCACGTGACACAAAACTTTTACAAATCAAATCGATAATGACGTAGAATGCTTTTGAATATAATGTCTTCTATCTATTCCCAAAACTGTCATAAAATTTAATTCTGTCGGAAACTGTTTTTAAACGAAATGTATGTGTATTTTAAGAATGATAATTAACACGTAAAAACTTTTGATTTCGTGTTTACAAGCATGGTACGTCATAGCGACGCCATCTTGCTTAAGGAAGCTTTTAACGTCGATAAGAATTAAAAATAACAATTTCTATAGGTTTTAATCACAAAAAATAATCTGTAAATGCTTTTTAAACTCTTGTCAAATAGACCATTATTTGAAGCTCGCTTTGTATTCGACACCGTATAATATAAATTCGCAGCTTTGCACTGTCGCCTATAAATCTTAGTCTTGAAATATTAAATAAAGTATATTCGTAAAAATCTAAGCTAAAGATTAAAGATATGATTTACGAAGTATAAAATTTGCATAAATTGAAGTCTAAACGATTTTGTTACTTTAAAACAACAGTCTTCGAAACGTTTTAAATTATTGTTTTAAATAGGAATTTCCAGAAATGTATTTAATTATAATTTCATAAAATATATCGTATTATTTAAAGAAAATATAATACTTTTAAGACTAAATAAAGTATTGACTAGAGGAATGTGATTTTCGAAAATAATCTCAAATATAATATTAAAAATATAATAAAATGCAGTTTCAATACGAATTAAACTTTGAATTTAACCTTAGTTATAAATATCGATCGACTCTTTGGAAACAAGTGGTCCTTCGAGCCGGGTATACAATATAAAATATATCAATTTTTTTTTATGTAAATACTTTTATTACATTGTTTTATTTCATTAAAACAAATTACTGATTTAGTCTTTTCACGAATAAATCAAAGTCCGGCTCGAAGGACCATTTTCCAAAGGGCATAAAATTTATAATAATTAAAACTACTCATGCATTCAGTTTTTGTCGTCGTTAACACCAGTTATTAAAATCAATTTAAATGCATTAACACATAAAATGTCCATAGTTTTGCATTTAATAGACATTTCCAATGATTGACAATTACATTGACGATTAATAAGAATGTTCATTGAAATTAGTTTAAACATAACTTAAGGCGCAGCTAACGTCGATGACTAAGTACAGGAAGTAAATATAAATAATCTATATATTTTTATTAAAACTATGATTTCAATAATCGGAATGTTATTTCTACAACTAATTTGGCGTGTATTGAAAAATAGTATAGCTGCCAATACGTCTTATACTATAAGGAGTGTATCAAGCTAAGTAAAACAATTTAAATGACGCACAATTATAGTTAGCATTTTTACTGACTGATCATACCGATCATTTTTACACGTATATATATATATAAGAATTGTATATAATTATATATCTTATATTAATTGTTTTTAATTAATTAATGTGTCGTTGGGCACAAAGCTTGATACACTGAATTTCTTTGGAAAAATAGATTTAAGTACATTGATATGGGTCCAACATTACACACTGTGTGCAATTAAAGACCAATTTCATTTTTTTTTCTTTTTTTAATCGGTCTTGACACAGCATATTTTTTTTTTTTTTTTTTGGGAATGCCTTACACTTAAATATAGGGTAATGAAATTACATTTCATACCTCAGATCCAATATTATTCTAGAAACACTTACTTACCTACTGGGTCTAATTGCACGAATTGACGAAAAATTTTGCGGAAAAAAAAGTTTTGGTCCAAATTTTAAAGTGGTATAAGACTTAATTTTTTTGTAAATATATAAAAAAAACACCCGACTACGGCTCGACCTCGGTTTATGCTACAAAATATTTCACTTATATGTTTTGATTGTTTTTTTATGATATGTAATAATTGAGAATATATATGTTAAAACCCAGAAGCATACATTTAAACTTAAAAAATCGCAATATAGCATTGTGCAATCAAAGGCATTCAGGGAAAATTTTTCGTCAAAATCGAAGATATTTATACAGTATTGTCGAGATCGGGTATACGGTTGAAGTTCTCTGGCCCCATGCCCCAATAGTAATACGGCGGTCCCGACGAGAAGCAGTACTTCATTTTAAGTGGTGTGTCATTCTCCACCCAGTACATGAGATAGAAGTTGCACATTTCATCTCTGTTCGTTGCCCTGAAAATAGATTTAAAAAAAAATGTAAATAAGACATAAAAAAAAACCTTTGTTTAGCACGGATAAGAATACCTAAGACGGATATATTGAGTATTCACATAACAAATAAGAAAAACGTTTAGAAACATTCTGGAGATTCGTTATATCGGGATTTTTTTAATTATTTTTCTTTATAAGCAGTGCATCTCTTTCCTTGATGATGTTTTAATACAAGGTGATTAACTTTCAGTGCCTACTTAACCAATATATATGCGTTACTAGTAAGCCAGGGCGTAATTAGAATGTACTGGCATCGAAGTAATTCCGAAAAAATCCTTAGGTTCTTAGAGCGTCCAATTCTGTGAGTCTGTGTGGGAGGTATCTCTTAACATCAGATATCGCTATGTGACATAAGAAATATAAAGTGTTATTGACAGTTATCTATATATAACATGACTTTAAAAATAGTCATGGAGTAAAATAGATTGTAAAAACTCCATAATTAAAATATTTTTTTTTATACGTCAGTCACGTGATACAAAACGGTGCCATAGGTCGAATGGACAATGACGTAGCATGCTTGTAAATAATGTCTTCGCCTGTCTAATACAATCACAATCATGGAGTTTAATTATGTCGGAGACTGATTTTGATCGAAATGTGTATTTGTGTAATTTAAGAATGATAAGTAAAACGTTAGTTTAAAAACTAGATGTTTGTTCACGTATTTACAAGCATGGTACGTCATAGCGCCATCTTGTTTTAACGAGTTTGGCAGGTTCTTGAAATTATAAATTTTAAAAGCCAATAATAAACAATTTCTATATGTTATTCGTCACTAATAAATAATCTGAGATGCTTTTTAAAACATCAAATAGCCTATTTATTTGAAGTTCGCTTTGTATCAGATTAATCTAATAAATTTGTAGCTTTGCACTTTGTATTAATCTTAGACATATTTTAATATTAAATGAAATATATATGCAAAAATTTAAATGATGTACGAAGAATAAAATTGCAATAGTTTTTAAAACAATTTGTTATGTCGTTAGTTTTGCAGAATAATGACTTTAAAAATGCTCACCCGATCTTAACCAGCTCATGTCTAGTATTATTCATGACACATCTAGCAGCCAGTACGTCAAACTTGCCAATTGGATCCGTGTTGACTACTGGATAGAACATTTGCGGCAACTGAGGGTCCTTACTGCCAATCAACTCCCATTTGTCGCCTTGCATTGATTTGCGGACTACGTAACCTGACACTTTTTGCCTGGAAATCGAATTTAATGTTTAACCCCTAGAATTTACTTTTTAATTAATTATCACCCCTAGAATTTACTTTTTAATTAATTATCACCCCTAGAATAAACTTTTTAATTAATTATCACCCCTAGAATTTACTTTTTAATTTTCAATGTAACAAATACCACAACGCAATCTAATTACAACTACTCCCAATTTTAATAGAAATTTCCTAACTTTAATATCAGCTAAAATCATGGAGCCCCAATAATATCCTTAGGAAGTAAATAATGAATAAATGAACAAAATATATTGGTAAAACAACAAACAAAATCAAGAAATAATATAGAATTTGTATATTAATCGAAACACGTGTTAACACGAACAATATGTATAACCGACTAGCTATTGAATTATAATGGTAGCAATTGATTATTGTATGAAATACTTAAGAAGAGCTCCGTGGGCGATTTTGTAACTAGACAGCGCGAATCAATGGAGCACGAATTCGGGTAGTACAAAACTTATGAAATTATAAAGGCGTAAAGCCTTTGGGCTGATGTTTTTAATGTTTTAAACAACGCTATTTGCACTTGTATGGGACCTCAATAAATGTGCATATTTATTATTTTTAACTAAATTGGTTAATGTCAACATTTCAGGAATGGTTTTTAATGATAATAATTAATCAAAAGATTTAATAATCGTGTATATTTGGGAATATAAATTAAAAATAAATTAAATTCGAAATTTTAAAATAAAGCTTCTAATCTAAAAATATTAAGAAATTTGTTCGTTTCAAATAGAAAACGAAGACGATAGCGCCACCTATCGTAACTTATTTCCTTGTACTTGTCAGTACAATCCCGTTTGACGTAAAATATGTCAAATGTCACTTAAAAATTGAGCTATCAAAATGGCGGACGTCTAGGAAATATTAAATTCGAGAATCCGTATTCATCATTTCATTAAACTTACCAAGACCATGAGTGTGAGTTCTAAAAGCGAAGGGATGTATGACCTTCTCTTCTTTCATGATACAGGCTGTTTCCATATGTTCAACAGAATCTGGTGGGATGACACCACTTGTTCCTAGAAGTATTACGCCTGCCTGACGAGGCATTCTGAAAGCATTGAGTACCTATATTTATTAATTTTTCAGAATGAATCTAGTAGACTAAAATTGGGACGGCTGATGACGTGTATCTCGTTCGTATATACGTATTAAGTTTCTCACGTAAATAAACATGTACATTCTCATGTAGTACATTCTTTTTTGTAATGAGAAATAAAGTTCTTTAAACATTAAAAAAAACATCAATTTATTCAGTAATGTTCAGGAAAAAAATGTCAAAACGAGAACTCGAATGGAATTTAAAAATATTGAGACAAAACAATTATTACTTACGTTTCTTGAGTGTACTTTAAAAACACGCCCGAGTTGTCAGTTTTTCCTTCTGAAATATTAATTGATTTTAATAACTACACGAGATACTATAATTTTGGTACAGACATTCTAATTCTTGTTCCTTAAATTTATCCTAAATGAGTACAAATGTAGTCTGAACTGAATCAGCAAATATGCGAACGAATAAATTATTAATTTCTACACTTACAAAAATTAAACTTGTAAATTTTTCATATTATACATCAACTAGCAAACTCGGCGAACTCCGTTTCGCCACCAGATGGCTTCGTTTTATGTAACATTTCGTTTGGTGATCCCGCTTTTCTGTTGAATTTTTTCCTGAATTTTCTTTGCTATAAACCTCACGGAGCCCGAGACCTTTCCAACGAATGCAAAACCGTGGAAATCGGTTCGTGCGTTCTGGAGTTATAGCGTCAGGAAGGAAAACCCGACTTATTTTTATATAGTAGATATTACAGTCGAACTATAATGACGTAAAAAAAGTAAACTTTTCATTTCTGTAACTTCAACCAACTCTTCGATTCCAAACATATCTGAAGCGCGCGTAAAGCATGTTACGTCCATACCATGGAATCTTCAGCACGTGCACGTCACGTTGCTTGGTCTCAACATTTGTTACCCCGTGGAACCGCTTTCTTTTGATATTTTCCGCGCATTAAAATTCCTAACATCGGCTTGTTTAGTATTTTTATATACAAAAGTTTAAAACATTTGTTTTTTTAAACCTTCGGCTGTGGCCTTCGTAATTAGCAATTCGCCTTTTAAGAGGTAAATTCGTTTTCCTTTGAATTATGTTGAATACTAGTTATACATTATAAAGAAAGTCAGCTACAAAATTTGAAACTTTACTATTAACAAAACATAGTAATAACCATTTTCTTCCAATCCATGGTTTTTAATAGTTTGGGTTGTTTTAGGAATAAAATTTCACTGTCTTACTTTACTGTTATAAATTTGGTAATCATAAAAATAATTATAATCGTAGGGAGTTTTTACTACTGCGTTTCAATTTTCGTTTAACAATCCTACATCTACAGTATTATCTACTAAACATTTGATCAGTCAATTTATTTCTAAGGCATACATAGGCAAACATATAGATTCCGTTTCTGCATTAAAATTTGTTTAGACAGACGCTTATATTCTTGGAAATTAGCTTTAAAATGACTATTTTACCTGGAAACTTGGTCATATAATGAACTTGTAGTACGAGATATTTGATTGGCGAATCTTGTCCAATTAAAAAGCCGACATCTTTGGGAAGCTCCAGACTTGGTGCGTCTCTAGCCCAGGCGTACACAATCTGTAATCCAGATAGTTTACTAAGACCGGATAAAAGCGAAAAAGGAATTAAAACACATTATTGGCAACATGGTTGCCCATAGACCTAGTCTCTAGTATTTTTTTCTATCGAGTAATTCCAGACTCTTAACATTTCTAGGTAGGTATATAAATGATTGGTTAATCTGGCGATCTATCGTCGCTTTGGTCTATACAGAAGGGACGGCTTCCGGGGTCGCAGGTATTCATGGGCACCTGTCCCAAAAAAATTAACGGCGTAAGTTATGTATTCAAAAATTTGTTAAGTTACTTTATATATAACTTAAAGCCAAAATGAAGCTTTAGTTTTTACCACACTCATAAATAGGAATTTAATATTCTCGTTTCCGATAATGTCCGATAACAGAAGTGTCACTTAGATTTACGAACTCTTCAATAGGTCAAGTTAGTTTATTGTTAATCCAGCGTCGCAACCCCCTACCCCCAATGTTATCTTAGTTATAAACTCATGTTTTAAGCAATTAAAGCCAGTTGTTCCCCAGCTTCAAAGTGTTTTATTTTTTCTATACAACAATCGCCACCGATCTTAAATCGTGTTACATTAGAATTATTAGTTTGAATTAGTATTAACATTGTCTCAACGCGCTCCATATCGACAAATTTTCATTATATTTTGTCTCTACTGTCTTAAAATATATTCATAATGAATGAACTGTATATTATTATAAAAAAAGTTCAATAAAAATAACTATCTACTATAATAAGTAGAGGTTGATCGTAGTGGGGTGGACACCCCTTGTCACTTATGTTTGAAAGATAGATAATAGCCGATTCTCAGACTTACTGAATATGCATAAAAAAAATTCATAAGAATCGGTCGAGCTGTTTCGGAGGAGTATGAGAACGAACATCGTGACACGAGAATTTTATAAACATATATAGATTAAGGCGGTTATCAATCAACGTGTAATTTCTGTATGTTCCACAATAGCTCCTCCCTCCACCAATTTGAATATGCAGAAATTATCGTTTAATACATTTATTTCTCTTGGACAAGATAATGAATATTTATTAGTGCATTTTGTAGTATATGTTGTTTTTAACCATAAAAACTTGCAGTTTCGTATTGTTTCTTTATCTGCGCGGCTTATACGCGATTATTGTACCAATTATCAGCGTGAAATTAAAGTTGTAATTAATTACAAAAAAACATTGAGATAAGGCTGAAATTACCTACATTTTAATTATAGTGAAAACCTCCCTGATTACCACATAACGATAGATATTGTACACGTGACTGCAATATTGCGATATCAGCAATATTAGAATAATTTCAAGGGCTTTGCCGTTAGCTGACGTCATTAGTGTTTTTTGTAAAGGGGTTAACCAAAAATAAAGAATAATTTTACAAAGTACCAGTACGAGTTCAGTTTTTAATTTATTAATGTAACCTTTAAAATACATGTCAACATGGAACATTTTGCTAAGCAACCCCAGAGACTGTTCGGTTTTCCGGAATGAAAACTTTTAAGGTTTTTCTGTGATTTTTCTTTACGTAAACCTTAGAGTTCAAGTTATAAGTTCTTAACTAACAAATAAAAAATAGGGGTTGATCGTAGAGGGTAGATGAAAATTAAGGGATGTATGTATTTTTGTATGATGTATCATAAAAAAAAATAAAAACAAAAAAAATGTCTAAAAATAAAAAATAGCCAATTACTGAATATATATAAAAAAATTATAAGAATCGGTTGAGCCGTTTCGGAGGAATATGGGATTCGTTCCTCCTCCTTCATAGTATCACGAGAATTTTATATATTAGATATGAATTAATGATGGTTTGATTGGAATTTATTTGAAATGTACCTGAGATCCCGATCGGCACGGACTAGCTGTGGTGTACAGATTGTCGACTTCGTTGCTCTGCATTTCCCCGCAACTCCTGAAATTGCATTAACACGAAGATATGAGCTTGATCCAGGGACTTCGTCCGATATAAAAATAAACCAGTGGTAAAAAATTACGTAATGGTTAATTAGTTTAGCGTTACTAACAAACAACAAGAAAACATATGACTGAAGCGACTCTCATCGTAGAGGTCTGAGGTCATAGTGTCGAATCTTTGCACCAATGTACTTTCTCGGGCATTCCACACCATAAAGGAAAACATCGTTAGGAAACTAGCATGCGTTAGACCGAAAAAGTAGAAAGCGTGTGTCAGGCATAGAAATTTTTTTTTTACGGATACGGGACGCCCCAAAAGGGCAGGACCCTCTTTTAGTGGATGCGTTGCCGGCCTTTGAGGGAGGAGTATACTCTTTATTTTGAACTAGAAGACTCCCACGATTTCACAGTCAGATCACCTTGCCTTTCCTATTAGATAAAAGCAATGATCACGAAATAGACATTTGAGACCAAACCTAAAAGGTTGTAGCGCCACTGTTTTTTATTATTATATTTAAATTATTGTGACTATTTTGTAATCTGTACATTCTTGTTGGTACTAAAAATACACACCCTAGAGTAGTTATCTGTCTCTTTTAATCGCAGCGTAAACTCAAATTGACAGAATGAGACAAAACTTATATACAAATGAGACTACGTTCGTTTTTATAATAAAGGAGTTAGAATTTAATTTGCTTTAAGATTTTAATGTAATTTTGTTCACTAACAAATAAATTGTTTGAGCACATCAACCATTTCGTAACCAAGACTTGGAGGCGTGCCTCGTTTACACTTCTATCAGGGCAGTTTAATTTTAATCTTAATAAAATTGTGATAAGCAACTTGATCAATAGAAAATCCATCAATCAATCAATTTGATTTCCATCTATAATACACGTTCTGAACTGTTTCAATTCTGTGTAAACGATTATTTATTTATCATCATTTTATGTTTATTTTCACAACAGTATTGAATACATTGTGATGTAAATAGCCAAGGCAAACATTCAATACAAACAAATACCTGTTATGCCGGTCATAAGAGCATTTTATATCATACATATATTATGTCGACTTGGTCTGTAGTTCATTACCCTAGACATATTGTACGATGCAAGGCTGTACATTTTGCGCCCTCAGTCTTTCTTAGTTTTATAAGCGTGGCGATTTCCTAAATCATGGGATGTACGCCCCGAGAGTATAGCCAGATCTAGACACTCCTTCCAACTGTTACATTGCATTCATTCGTTACAAAGCAATTAACATTAAATTTTAAATTAAATTCGCTTATATTATATGATATTATATCAGACGAGCTGTCATTAAATTTATTTAAAGATCTCTTTTTTGATCATCTTTTTTCTGCCTCGTGATTAGCTACTACTTTTATATATTAATTGTGAGTCAATTAACCTTAGGCTGAGCTTTTACATGTCTATTTATACATACTATTATTAATACTTTTTCTTTAGATTTTATTTTATTTAATTTTAGTTATAGTTGCATGTTATTTTTAGTAACTTTTTAGTAATAATTTTATGCATTTCTTGTCTTGTATCAACCATTTTAGGGTTGCCTGGAAGAAATCGCTTGTTAGCGATAAGGCCGCCCGTTGCCTAATAACTTATGTAACCTACTTACTTTTTGTTTGTTTTCAATATGTATAATTATGTGTATTATGGCAATGAAGTATAAATAAATAAATAAATTGTATTGTACGCGAGTAGTTAATATAGAGTATCCTCTTTTATTTTAAGCACCCCGATGACCCAGGAACCGTACACATAAAAACTTCTCTTCAATTTGTAAATAAAAGTTCTTTGCCTTTATGAAAATGATATATGAAAAGCACGTAATTCCTAAAAACTGTTTTATTGCACCGTTTTAGGTCTTGTCTCTTTCCGTCAAATTGTATTTACGCTATAATGAAAAGAGACAGTACATCTATGAATTACGCACAACTTCTCGCTGTTAGATTATACAATTGAACAAGTTTGGAACACATATGCATTTTATTATTTTAGGCTCGGCTCAATTTATTAATCATCCCTTGACGCACAAGAACCACACTTATCACGATAGGCAATAGTCATATAAATATTTGTATGTTTGCAACGAATACACTTACTATAGTACCAATTTCAAGAATTCTTCTATTTTGATGAAATTTGTGTTCAAGTGGATTCGAGAATAGTTTAAATGAACAGATGATTTTTTGCATTAAGGTTCTGTCAGGTACGCTAGTATTTTTCTTTTTATGTTACAGGAGGCAAACGGGCAGGAGGCTCACCTGCTGTTAAGTTATACCGCCGCCGCGTATAATTTATATATTGGACACTCCATGCCAGAGGGCTCGCGAGTGCGTTGCAAGTATTTCCATATATTTTAAAAATTGTCTAGCCGTGCGAAACAGGCCGCTAGTTCATGACTGATTATTACCATTGATCTTGTTACACCATCTATACTACTCATATTTTAATTCTTAATCAACTTCTAAAATTTATCTAAATTGAATAAGGCCATTCTCAACAAACATGAAATCACCACTGTCAACTATCATTTACAAACGGGTGCTTAGCAGCTACTTTTGCCAAATTGCCAGGAGAGAACCGAATAGTATCTATCGATAAACTGGTAATGGTAAAAGTCTAACCAATATAAGACAATTATGGGTCACAACAACCCTAATGCCCTCGGACAAGATGAGGATAGATTGGTCTGGAGGCAGCGAGTCGATTAGTAGTATTAGGTTTTCAAGACTGGCTAAGACTATGAAGAAGAATAATAATAATCTCATCTATTCTCTAGCTAGTATCGCACGAGAACGTCTGTTGCAACTAACGTCAAGTTAAATCAAAGACAATTTTATGAACAATGCTGCTTTAGTGACATTAATGCTTACCATACTGGGTCGTTGGAGCCAGGTTCTGAGCATCCATAGAGTAGCATATGATGAGCAGTATGCATGGTTGCATTTGGTTTGAATCCCACTGGAAAATTTATTATATAGTAAGGTTGAAAATGTAACGGTATAAAAACGTCGAATCTTTATTTATTATACATTAATTTAATCATTAAAAATCTATTTTATGAACTCAAATATAACATTTCTGAATCTCATGTTTTTTAGATTTGATTTACCAATTGGACAGTCTAGGCTTTCCCAACCAATGTTGAGATGCAATGGATAGAAAACTGCGATTTTATTACTAGAAATATCTATCTGCCTCTGTGAACTTTGTTTCGCCTTATTATGTTTTTTTATATGTTTATTGGCTACATACCAACATTTGGAATATTTTGCTATGCTACCCCATAAATACTTTTCGCTTTTCCGGAATAAAAACTGAGTTTTAGGTTTTCCATGCAATTTTCAATTCAGTTCTTAAATAAAAGAAATACTCGATTTGGACAGCCCTCTCTAATTTTGCGATTTATTTTTATTTATATAGATAGATTAATACAGGTGTTAGATAAGGACATTTGTAGTATTTATTTAATAATTGTAACCTAAATATAATTAAATAGTACTGGGAATCACCTTTTCTTAAATTATAACAACATTATCGAGTGACTCAACTGTTATTCCCCTAATAATCATTACGATGAACGACCTATAACGTTTGTATAATATTTGTATAAGATAAAATAAAATAAATTATTGATTTATTCTAAATAGTTAGATAAGATATTTTTTTTATATATTATATATGCAGTTTTGACCAATAAGTCTGGATGACTGAGTGTCAGGTCGTGTCCTCCGAGAACAAGATTCCGTTTAATAGTAAGATGACGTTATTTCAGGTTTTAAAACATTTTATTACTCTCATTTCATCACACACAAATATTTTGCATACATTATACAAATACACTCAGAGTCAGCTATTTATATCTATATTAATAATATAAATTTTGCGTTCTATGTTTGATAAATATGCTAATCTAGTTTTATTGAAAAATTCGTTTTGGCTTAGAAATTTAAAAGAAAATGATAACAGCATATTTTACCGTAATTAACGCGAGTAATTTATACAATAAGACTTAAAAAAACAATACAATAGATAACATACCAATATAAAAGTTTTGGTTCGGTGATATTCTGATCGGTGTACATAGGTAGAGCTCGTCCTGAAATTTAATAGTATTGATTAGACTTAATCTGCCATTGATAATCTGATAACGCCCACATCACTAGTAATTTTATTTTTGTACAAACCATTTAACAAGAACCATTAACAATAAATTGTAGAATGTTGGCCTTTTTTCCCTCTCATGACTTTACTATTTAAACTCTCAAAACAATAATAAGTATAAATATAAGTATTAATGTAATTGTCTTAACTCTACATTCCTATATGCTATTGAATCAGTAGTGATTCAAACCTAGAGTAGGGAATCCAAACTATTATATGCTACATACATTACCGGCCAAGCATCACAGCAATTTATTCTCTACAAAATCTGTTACAGTGACAAGATGATTACAAAATTATAGTAAATATGTGTTATTTATCATCAGAATGTATCTATTATAAAACCATTTCAAAGGTTTAAGGAAAAATTACCATAATATAAATAAACATTGGTTTTAATACAATAGGACTATATAACCAGACTCGGTCACGGTCTTGGGCTCTATAATCCAGGACTCTGGTCACAAATAGTTGGAGGTCCAAATTTTTAACATTTCTTTGAGACAATGTGAGGTACACACAAATAGGTGTCAGAAGCACAGTTTCTCGGGTACTCAATTCCATAGCCGTGTCATTAAGCCACAAAGGCTCTCATTATAGTCAGTAGAAATAGTGTTTATAAGTAATTAATATAGGAATATCATTTGATTTAGCCAAGGTACCATATACCAAACATATGCTAACTTAAATTTAGTCATATTTACATAGTAAATTTAGGCTTAAAATATTGTATTTTATTTATTTTGAAAGCAACAACCAAAATTCCTGGATTTTTAGTATAGCTAATTATTAGCAATAGAAGAAAAAACTAATTATTAAGTCAATTTAAATAATATTATTTAATTTAGAGACAATACAGAATACATACATATTTTTGTAATTAATAAAAAGTGTGAAGATGTTATTGTTCACCTTCACACTTAATTGAAAATATGTTGGATCTTGTTCAGACACTAATCATGTTAATGAAAACCTATAAGTTTGCATATTTTAGTAAGATAATTATAATACAAGATAATTATAATACCATATGTGTAATCTTAATATAGAGTTCTTTTAAATATATTTTAATTTTAGAGATTAAAATTGTAGGGAAGATTCTGTTGCCAATTGTACATGTACATTCAATGCTCTTAATTTGTTTTGAATCATTCAATTTTCAATGTTAATATGTGTACATTGTGTTACCTACATTAATGAAAGATATTTTCCAAAAAATTAAGAGTTTAGTGGTGAAGTGTTAACTTTGAATAAGTTTTATTTAAATGTGTAGTCTACCTACTTTAAACACAATATTAAATAACATTCTTACTTTGTTCAATAGAATCCTCTGAGATATTTAATAAGGTTATACAGATATATAAATTTGCTTTAATTGTAGGATAAGATATTGCCTAATAATGTTATCTATTATTGATCCATCAGGCAATCAAACACTTGATTGCTATCTAAATTGTGATAAGATTTGAGAAATACTTCCGATAATTAATAAAAAGATGAAACCTTTAACCTTATCAGTTAAAGTATTATATTGCAATCTTATAATCAATATTTTAGTTAACCAAAATATAAAATATTTTTATTACAATTTGTTATAAGTTTTTACAGAAAACATAATAAAGACTGACAACTCTACTGAAGCTCTAGTTAATAAATGTGTGCTTAAAGCTTAATTAATGTGTATTATAATTTCCTAGCTCGCTTTATTTATCTGAGATATTATGAAGAAACCTTAATATTTTTTGTAAATTGTAAGTTAAGTTGTAAATTACTGATTTAGTTATTAAACGAAAGAAATATATTTAAACTTACCCTGTGGGGATGAACGTTAGGCATCAAAAAATCGTATGTATCCACTTCGAAAGTTAATACATCTGTGGTTTTAAAAATAAATAGAAAGAATAATATTACAAACATGTTATACAAACTCTCCATATTTAAAAAACTTGGAATGTTAGAAACGCTATAGAATTATTTATGTCGCCTATAATAATAATTATGCAAAGTTTAGTTGTTCATTTATTTAGCAGCATACGGAAATTAAATATGAGCCTTCCGAATAACTACACGCATCAGAGAACTAATTTCAACTGATGAAGATGTAATGAATAATGATATCACGATTCACGAGTTAAATCAATCAATAAACACAACAACCGACATACACTCCCGATGAAATGAAAATATGACGTACACGGTACAATCTGTGCGTACGTCGAATACTCAATACTTTGGGCAATGACGTCAATCTGCGGGTGGCCAGCTATAGCATGAAAGAATTGGAAAAACCAATAATCTTTCAGTTTTAAAGTAACCCAAATGTTTTATTCTCATTAAATATAGACAATATTTTTTATTGTATACTTAAAGAACTTTTTAAGTTTAAAACGACACAATAAGTTAAAAAAATATACCACAGTACATTATAATAAATAAATTGTGTGACCATCTTAAAGTAATTTTTCAATGACTAACGAAAATAGCTACAAATCCTATACCATAATTTCGTGAAAAATGGCTGCCATGGAAAGTTCTTACAACATAAAATATGTAGGTAGAGTCTGACAGTCTGTGCTGAAAAGGAACACTCCTGGGATTTAAGATCGCTGCAGAGCTTTTAACTAACTGTTACATCATTATAGCTCACGAGTAACAATATTTAAAAAGTATTTACAACCCGTGCGCGATAAATTGGGACCTGAGCGCGGTAACGTCACAGTGGCCGGTGGCGTGTTTGTACCAACTACCATCCGCAAAAAAGCGAACACAACGAGCAGCCGCCGCGGCTTCGTCCTTGTTTTTTTTAACCTAATTTATTATGTTACTTAGGGATGATGCTGCTTTTTATCTAATCTTTAATTTTTTTTATACTATTTGAATACAATAGAATACTATTTAATTATGTATCACAGAAAGTGAAGGAAGGTAACGTTTTGTAATGAATAAAAATGCAATGTTTAAGTTTATACATTTATTTTACTCGTATCTATTATTTACAATATCTAATCTTCGTCACTACTAAGTGGATTTATGCCTTCTAGAGGTTGTTCTTCGTCCTCAGTCTCACTATAATCTTCACTTGATGAAGAGGTATCAGATAAATGTACAATGATTTGCGATTCATTTGTCTCTTGTAAGAGGTCATCATCCCAATACTTTTGTCAAAGTCTGTCCACATTGTTGACTTCTTTTTTCCAGTCACTCTCACTAATTACATCTTTTGTAACTTTTCTATTTCCCTTTCTGACTGGTTGATATTTTTATCGGCTACCCTTTGCTTGACCAAATTCCAAATATATTCAATAAAAAGTTCATCAATCAAATATTTTTTTGGGGGCTTATTTATATGTAATAAGTGATACATTTCAGATTTTCTCATTCTTTCATCAAATGTTATTGTGGTCTAATAACCATTGACGTCTCCTTCGTTGCCACACTTGTGGGTGGTTTTTCTATTTGAGTTGAGTGGTAAGGTGCATTATCTAGTACCACGATACTGTTAAGTGGCCAATTCGGAATTAACTTTTCAAGAACCCACTTTTTAAAGTTTGCGGTATTCATCTCATGATGGTAATCTCCCGAGTTGCTTTTGCATTTGTATATGAGCTCAGCCCCATTCACGAATCCGTTCTCTCCACCGCCGTGAACAATAATCCATCTTTGGTCGGGATTATGATTTTTTTTTACAGACGCATCAGTGTTATTTTGCCAGCATTTGCTCACTGTATAGTGGGAATGTATGCACGTCTCATCTACATAAATGACTGGTTTTTTCCTCGCACCCAAGTCATCATTTTCCTTTAGACGTCGTAGGTACCTTGCCCGCCAAGCTCGAATATCTGGTTTTTGAGTAAGAAAATGTCTTTTATCTTTACATTTTTTGAATTTGTAGCCTAATTTGTCTACTAACACTTTTCTTAAATATGTTTTTTGTCTTTGAAAATTGAGGTCTCTTTTAGCCACAGATAATATTTTATTTAAAGTAAGTATTTCTTTCCTGACAGTGTAAAAGCTATTTACAATATTTCTCAAGGCACATACATCAAAACTGTCCAATTGGATATGGTTAAACTTTGGCTTCCGTTTTTTTGCCCGGTGTTGACAATTTCACTTCACTTACTGGCGTAGAACTTGTAGAAGTACCTAGTGTCGGTGAAGTATTTTGTAAGCGCTTGGCTTCGTTTTTTATTCTCATCAACGTGGTTTTCGATATTCCCGTTGGCATGCATGTTCTTTTTACTACCTGGTCAATAGTTACACAAAACTGTTTGTTCCGTTTTTCGTTTTCAAAAAACTCTAACACTTTTAGCACGAGGTTTCTTTCTCCGCTATGTAAAGGTTTACCCTTCATAACGATAACAAAAAAAACTTAACAAGAACTATAACAACAAAACAATAACACAAACGAAACTAAAAGGATTCCAGAGCGCGTCGTTACGTGACGTAAGCCAGAACGAGACTAACAATCCTAGTAAAAAACTTGCGATGCGAATGGTACAATACGGGCGCCATCGGGGAAGTCCGAAGTGCAGGTTAGCGGGCGGGGAGCCGCAATCCTAGAAGGTCCCAACTTATCGCGCATGAGTTATACACGTGTTATAACTGCGTTCATATTATGCTTTTAAGAATCTTAATGTAAAATATTTAATGAAATAAAATTATTTGAAACATTAACATTATTATGATAAAATAGGTTAAGCAATAATTTACACACTTTAAGTTTAGTGAATAATTAAGGATAACAATTCCAGATTTAGCATTCTTATAAACGCTTTAAACTCACACTTTAAAATCGATTTTAGGTTATTTTTTTTTTAATTTTAATTGTTTTGTTTAATATTTGTATTTATCTCTTCGTGTATGTCATGTTTGCCTATACGTACTTGTCACAAAAAATATTGTGGTTCTTTTACCAATGTATCAGTGTGTCGAGCGTTGGCAAGCTTTTATCAATAATAAAAATAATGTTTACAACCATTGTTTTAAATAAGCATAATATAAATATTCCTCTACTAATACTAAGACTTAAATCAAGTCTATACAAATTACAATTGATGGACCGCGCAAAGAATTTTTTTAAACTATGTTACGATGAATAATAGCGATGTCTTGTGGACAACTGCAAAAATTATTTATGTAAATGTTGGGTAGTAAAAGGTTTTGTATAAGCTTAATAGATGGCGCAATAAACAAAAATATATTCTATATTATGATTATGGTCTATTGCAATTATTAAATTCATGACACCTTTCGGCATGACACACAAACTATTACTAGAATAATATAACTAATACTAGAAATTATTTATTTAATTTAAATAATTATTATATATTACTATTACTAGATTAAGAAAAGCAAATATTTAAGAGAATGAATATGTTTTTAATTTTCTCCTTAAATCAATAAAGCATGGAACTCCTATTCTTAGCCGTTCCCCAAGGCTGTGTACTCTTCCGAACACTTTTCCTCTGCATATCAATAATAATATGTTGCATTTCCGCAGCGTTCATTGCTGTACGGATGACAGCACTGGTGACGACATTTACACCGGCCGTGCAAATATTTCGGGTTAATGTCGAGCAGTGTTGGGACAAACCTTTGTATTAAATCGAAACCCTATTACTAGGGGTCTACTTAATTTAACCCTAATAAGACTTAAGAAGATAGGTTTGCGCCTTCACCGCTTAGAAGAATCCCTTCCTTCTAAAACACTATCGTCGCAGAAACTCCCCTGGAAGCCTCAGCTAGTATCGGAATACTCAGTGTGACATATCGAGCGTCATTCAGTTCCGCAGACATTCCTAACCGTTAGTTAGAGACCACAACCTTAAAGGCCGACAATCACTTGCAAATCCCATGGTGCTGCTGCCTGCTCATTTGCCTCCTGTACTATAAAAGAAACATGTACCAGTACAAGATATAAAATAAAAAGTGCGTGCGTACAAAGTACACAATATGTCAAAAGTGAAACTTCTTTGTAAATTAATAATTTAGTAATTAAGCTGCCCAAATCCACTAATTTAATTTTGCCAGACTTTCTATATTAATGAATGATACTTAGGCTAATTAAAAACCAGAACTAAAATAAGTTGTTGTTGTGTATAGAAATACCACCATAAATATGGTAACAATTACCAAATAATATAGCAAATTCATTATTATCATAATTGCTAATTTATGTCCACATTTTCTAAAATAGCCAACTGGGTCTCAGCAAAAAAGTATTGGTTCTGTGCCCTTATAAAAATACAAAACCAACAAAAAAATGGTAATTTAGTTACTTAATGAAATAATAAATATTGATATGTATTAAAAACACCATCGGTGTTCAAGTCTCAATCGCTCTCTCCCTTTTCTTCGATAAAAACGCTGCACATCTTCGTGACGTTCCGTAAAAATTTTACCCTCATGCGCCTAAAGAATTTTCACTTCAATATTTTGTTTCCAGTTTTTGTACATTAATTTGTTCGAATATAATTATTATAGAAGTCATTAATCTAATTAATAGTCACATTTAAAACTATTAAAACAATTACCTTTATATCTACGTCCAATATCTCATACAAATTACTTTCAATTATTTGTTATTCGTTTTTAACTACAAAATAATTGCGTAAACCCATTAATTGACTGTCTAAATTATATATTATATATACATAAAAGCTAAGCACTTAAATTAAGATACTTTGTTTACCACATCTTGGCAAAGCATAAAGTGTTAATGGAAATATCTTGTAGTGATAAACTTACTTGTCAAGTTCTACAACTAAGTCCGTATACGTCTTTGTCATTTGAAAAATTCTATTTATTAAAATAAACTGATATGGAATATACAAAAGGGATTGTTACAAGAATTATTCTATTATTTATATGTCGCTAAATAAAATGATTGCAATGGACAACAGAAATGGTGTTGAGAAATTTGTATTTTATGTTTATTCGTTTATGGCACGGCAGAGATTTTTATGAACCATTAATAAATATAATGATATTGTTATATAAAGTCTAAATGACTACGTTAATTACTGATTTAAGAAACCATAAGTAAGACTTACTACTTTATTTAAATCTTTAAATGGCTTAGAACAGTCGACTTGAGTAGGGCCGATAAAAGCCTGTTTTATAAAAATTTAAAATTTAATTAATTCTTATACCAATGATAAGTTTTTTTATACATGTGTACTAAGACATTATGAAACACTAGTAGACTCGGCCAAGCGTTGCTGTGGCTAAGATTTTTGTTATATTACATAGTAGTAAACTATTCAAGAGAAAAGGCAGGAGATCACCAATCCACCATGCTTTTTTGGTGGTTATGCCATTAAATTGTAGCTTGGTTATTATTTTGATAAGGATCAATACCTAGGTACGAATAAAGAGCCTTTTCTAGCGGTGGTATTTTTATAAAAAAAAATTAATAAAAGGACGCTTATTTTGACGTAAATATAAAAGATAGAGACATGCTGTCGCGAGTGACATTTTTTATAGATAGTGATGTGTGTGTATAGTGTAGTGTGATCATGTGTCCTGAAAAATTGTAATGCATCATTTTGTTCTATCATTAATAGTTTTCCCAGTGCACACGATTGAAGGAAGTTTTTTGTTTACTTTTTTACACCTTCGGTTAGATTATTCAAGTTTTAGTAAGCATCCCTATTTTTTTTTAAAATAAGACAAAGCCTATGTCACTCGGGAATAGTGTAGCTTGCCAACGGTGAAAGAATTTTTGAAATCGGTCCAGTAGTTTCGGAGCCTATTCATTTCAAACAAACAAAAAATCAAACCTTTCCTCTTTATAATATTATGGAACATTACGATCTAGCCTAACTTAAGACTAATGAGTAATTTAAGTCTAACCTAATTTAATAATAAGAATATCTAATATAAGAAAGTGTCCAATAACACTACTTACAGTCTCTATTAAGGGTAACACTCTGTTCTTGTGTTCTATTTAACCAATGTCCAATATACCAAATATCAGGCATGTTTGTACCGTAGCCATTTAGAGTTTTTGTGGGACACGAGGCAGACTTGTCTTATGTATTGATAAATATTTATGGTAAATATACTGTGCCTTCCAAAATAAATATTATTTTCCAAGATTAAGTAACTCCATTAGGCCACGGAGTATTTATTTTAAATTTTTTTGAAACAATTTTGTTAAATTATTATGCTGTGCTTCCGAGTGTTGCATTTCCTTCTCACCGAGAACTCTATATATATACGTACAGATTTATAAGCAATAAATCCTTATATTCGAAGGATCTGTTTAGTATAAAGTAGTCCACATCACATATCAGACGCGGAAAACAAAGGCTAGAGAATACAATTTTTCTTTGACATATAATTTCATTTCCACTCCGATCACGTTCGGAGTATCGGACCATACGTCAGGATATTCACGTAGAGAATTTGACGTGGATTCACACGTGATTATTGGGTTTGTGGGTGAACCCACAAATATTGGGATATATCCGAGACTGTTTTATTCCAAATCTCTCTACATTTGGAATTGATTGAATAATTTGCAGGTGAAGTTTCATATGCATCAACAAAATAAGTAAACTAAACCTGGTAAGTGAACTAAATCTGTAAGCGTGTATCATATTAAAGATAGATTTATTTAAAACAAATGTCGTAGACAGTTTTTATTGTTTATTATAAAGTAAAAACATCAGTTTTTAATAAAAATAAGATTTAAAAAAATCAGTGGCGCTACAACCTTTTTAGGTCTGGGTCTCAGATTTCTGTATCTGTTTCATGATCATTTGTTAATCAAATAGGGAAGTAGGTGGTCAACCTCCAGTGCCTGTCACTCAGCACAAACGCCGTCGACTTTTTGGGTCTCAGACATGTCGGTTTCCTCATGATGTTTTCCTTCACCGTTCGAGCGAATGTTAAATGCGCACATAGAAAGAAAGTCAATTGGTGCACAGCCGAGGATCGAACCTACGACATCAGGGATGAGAGTCGCACGCTGAAGCCACTAGGCCACAAAAGTTTAATGTAATCGTAGATAGGAATTTAATATGTAGGTCGAATTTCCGAATAATCTAATGGAATTAAAAAATTGTGTCGTTTTAATCGTATATTGAAGCTGTCGATTTTATACTATTTCAAATTACCACAGCAATCTTATTATACTAAAACGTTATGTAACTTATAAAAATATCTCATATTCAAAATACGTACGCATTAGTACTAATAAAGTTAATAACTAAGTTTTGTAATTAAGATGCAGTAACTTCTCTCTTACTGTGGCATGAGTTTCAAATAAAATAGAAGCTGACAGTTTCTAAGTGCTTCTTAATGTTACTTAATTATATCTTAATATCCAAGTAATTTGACAGCTAACGATGAATTTGAGGGAGTTATTATCTAATTGAATAAAACAATTTATTGTAATATTTACTATTTATTTAATAATTTGTAATAAAAATCGATTGTTTATCGTGAATATTTTAATCAGGAATCTTAAATAATTGATAATGGCGTGAATTCTAATGAGTGACAAAGTTAGTAAGGAAAAATAATAAGAAACTAGGGTAAGGGAATGTGGTAGTGCGAAACTGAGTATGGTGCCTTCCTTACAGTAATTAATAGATAGTAACCAAAAATATATAACAAAATGTGCTGCCAAAGATATGCAGAATGGAAAATTCTCACCCTTCTACTGGTCCTTTAACAATCCTTTGTTTTTTTTAGGTTGTCACGCCCATACCAGAAAAGGCGCTCTTTTCAAAAGAGGATAAATAAAATCTTTTTGATCGCTCAAATTATTCCATTGGGTTTGGCCTGCGATTTCTGTATCTATTTCGTGAATTTTTTTCTTAATAGCAAATAGATATAATACGCCTGGCACTCCCCGTCGACTTTTAGGTTACGGTTAACTCACGATTTCCTCCACCGTGCCAGCGGTAAGTCTAGTAAAAGTGCATTATTACACACACTGTGATCCGAATATACGAGCACAGAGTTGAGAGTGGGACACTCAAGCCCCTTTTTTTCGTGGGGAAATGCGTTACGTATACCCTCCTGCGGCACGGTTGCCTCGTGGTGGAAGGTTATGTTGGACTCGCTGCTGTGCATACCCACCACCAGCAATTGGCCGAGGCAGGACACGGTAACAGCGTAGCCTTGTCCACATGCCACCACGCGATCAGCCGTTGAAATCACGGTCCTCTATGGCCTCGAATGATGTGGAATGGACCTTGGCACAGCAAGGACCATTTACATCCCCCAATTTGGTCTGATTTATAAAGCTGGGGGAGGTCAGGTACAATGATCCCTTCTTTTGGACGCATGAACCCCTGTTCCCCTGCTGAAGCGTCTGCGTGACCAGGATTACACAAGGCGTTGCACGGTGCACGTTGCAACGGCTGCGGGATCGACCTCCCTGGCCCTCTTCGCCTCTTCTTGGCGCATGACGGCTTCACAGAATCACTGGGCCAACACTGCTCTATTATAACATATCGTTAAAAATAATCATGCTGAAGACGACTGTTAAATAAAATAAAACTACCAGGGCAACAGAAATCAGAAAAGCTCTACGATAAGATGTTGTTATGCCTGATTTTATTAAGGCTCCCAAAATAGGAACGAATTGCAATTGCACCCTCATAAATGCTTCGATAGGCAATACTTTTTATCAAGGGGCAAAGTTATCTGCCTGATATGAGAACCGCTTGTGGAATCGAATTCCTGTTTAGATGAATGCACTTGTGTTGTTTGGGGTTCGTATATAAAACAATGATTGTATGTGTAGCCTTAGTTGAAATAATATGTGCAATCATTTCGCTTGAATTAATAAAAAAAAATAATATAGCCTATGTTCGAGTACTTTTAAACTTTCTTTGTTGCAAGAATACAGAAACATAGTACAATTAAAATAATCTAATAAAAAGAAGGGCAACTGGCGGCTTTATCATTTTCGACCGATCTCTTCCAGGCAACTACTGTGAGAAAAAGAAATTAGATCAGGTGAACGCAAGAAGTGCAAAAATACATAAGACATATATTTGGACAACTAATGGAACAAAACAACGCAATTAAAACAGTGAAAAGAAAACGAACCAACTTATCTGTGAAATGGAGAAAATGGGAACTACGGCCGCCATGTTGAAATGTCATTCGATTATCAGTGTCTACTACATTCGGGTGTTCTGTGTTGTGTGTGTACATATGCAAAATGCAGATTACTTTTTTTTAAATATAATGTCCTAGAGTGGGAAAAGGGCAAGAAGAAGAAGTTTATTTGCAAGTTATTAAATTTCATTGGCCTACTTTGCTAAACATTTAGTTTGTAAGTACCTACATTATATCAATTGAATGCCAGAGGAAAAGCTAATGTATGTATCTACCTACATTAATTTTCTTATTTTTGAAGACTATTTAGTACTTATATTACCATTTTATTATTATAAAACAATGTTAGGTTTTGTTTAAAAAAATAGTGCGTGTACTAGGTGTACACACGTAAGAAGTGAAACTTCTTTATGATCTTAATTTTCGAAAAATGATTTTTTAATGATATGCAACTTTACAGAAATTCGTTAAATTAGATAAAGTTTAACAAAAGGCTTTTATTATCATAGACATGAATACAAATATTTAATTTTACCTTATAACTACGAAGATTATTATAGAATTTCATTAATTGTAATAGAATTATTACTATCATTGAAAAACGTGACGATTTGCTACAAAATTTTTCCCATACGTCGATAAAGAAGTTTCATTCCAACGCCGATAAAGAAGTTTGACTTCAAAAAGCAACATAGCGCGTAACCGA